AGTGGCTTTGATAAGCGTCACCGATTTGGACTCCGGGCGCAATGGAAAAATCTCATGTTCAGTATCCGATAAAATACCTTTTAAACTAATGCCGTCATCACACGATAATATTTATTCGTTAGTTACTTCTGGATTACTTGACAGAGAATCGAAATTTCAGTATGACATAAGATTAGTTGCAAATGATGCAGGAGAACCATCATTGTCTTCTGTTAAATCTATATCTGTTCTGATATCAGATGTAAATGACAATTGTCCGGAATTCTCATTTTCCCCGTATTCGTATTATGTGATGGAAAAAATTACGACGGGACTCTGTGTCACAGCATCCAGTACAGATCTGGAGACAAACGGTACATGTTAGTTGGACCCAGAATGAGTATCGGCTCTACTATAGTCCCGGGCAGTAATGGCAATACTCTAGTGATCCCCGATCGCAGGAGGAGAGATTCTGGAGAGGTAAGAAAAGGACTAGCGTTGTGCTATATTGCATTCATGGACTGCATTGTTCTTGTATTATTTTTTAATACTTTTTAGTGCTTTTATTTTAATTTTATAGCTACACATATGTGTGAATTACATATTATCTTGGAATTTTTCCTGTGCCCCAATGACTGAATGAACTGTAAAAGTAACCGTGAGAGAGTCGCTGTCCTTGGTGCTGAATACATGATGCAGCTTTCTGTTCTGCAGAGTTGCCTCATTCTTTCTATTTCTGTGCATATTTTAGGTGTATTAGACAAGCTCCAAGAACTTAAAAATGGTTAATTTGTTTCATTATGAATTTGTAGCTTTTAATGAATAGCAATACAATGAAAGAGCGCCAGGTGTCAGTGCAAACCTGAAGTGAAACTCAAAACCTTAAGAGTACCTCCCTGTTTTTTCGTCATCATTTAGATTTGTATATGATCTTTTTCATCAACGGCGTGGCTTGCTCGGTGGTTTTGTCCTTTGCTTTTCTTCGTAATATCTTTCGAGGATTAAGAAATCTTTCATGTGGTCATTGGACTAATATTTGGACAGTCGTTGTGAAATTGCTGTGGAACCAATACGTTGCAAAAATGGGACAAAGAAGACTTGAGCAGTGGCCTGAGCGGCAGGTGAAAATCGTCTTCATGGTTGTATCGCTTGTTTTCGGCAGAACGGTTTGGGCACAAATACGCTACTCGATTTCTGAAGAGCAAGCGGACGGAGCTGCTGTGGGAAATGTTGCAAAGGATTTGGGCATTGATTACAGAAACTTAAAGGAGCGAGGATTTCGTATCGTCTCGACTTCAGGGGAGTCAATGTTCAGTGTAAATCAGAATGATGGTGTCTTGTATGTGAACGGTAAATTAGATAGAGAGGAGGTGTGCGAAAGAAGCACCCCGTGTTTAATAAATCTAAAAATCGCATTAGAAAATCCTCTCGAGATTCATTACGTGACTGTTGATGTAATAGACACGAATGACCACGCTCCGAGATTCCAAGAGCAGGAAAAGCATTTAGAAATAGGCGAATCGGTGATTCCCGGTGCGCGGTTTCAGCTTCAGGCAGCGCGCGATCCAGACAGTGGCAGTAATTCAGTTCAGACTTATAAACTGAGCCACACCGATCATTTCCGTATTGAAATTAAAGATCGCGATGAAGACGGCAAAGTTCCAGTGCTGATTTTACAAAAGCCGCTCGATCGAGAGGTTACAAAAAGGATGAAATTGCAGCTAACTGCTTTAGATGGAGGCAGACCTCCAAAGTCTGGAACTATGGAAATAACAATAGATGTGTTAGATATAAACGATAATGCACCTGTTTTCACCAAGGAAGCTTACATTGTAATGCTAAATGAAAACACACCCGTTGGCACAACTATTTTTAGGGTGAACGCAACTGATTTGGATGAAGGTCAGAACAGCGAAATAGTTTATTCATTAGGGCATGACGTCAATGATAAACTGCGTAAACTTTTTAATATTAATCCAATCACAGGAGAAATCGTTGTGACCGGTCTTTTGGATTTTGAAGTTAAAGATAAATATGAGATTGATATTCAAGCATCTGACAAAGGAATCGTTCCTCTAACAACAGATAAAAGTTTAACTATAAAACTTGCTGATGTAAATGACAATCCCCCTCAGATAGAAGTGACATCATTCTCAAGTGCTATTCCTGAGGACTCCAAACCCGGCACAACGGTAGCTTTAATAAGTGTCTCTGATTTAGATTCTGAAATTAATGGGAGAGTCACATGTTCATTACCTGAGGACATACCTTTCAAATTAATGCCGTCATCACAAGAAAATACATACACATTAGTGACAATATCATCTCTTGACAGAGAGACAATTTCTCGCTATGACATAACATTAGAAGCCAAAGATGCTGGTCAGCCACCACAGTCTTCTGTTAAATCTATAACTGTACATGTATCAGATGTTAATGACAATGTTCCAGAGTTTTCTTTTTCTCCTTATTCATTTTATGTGATGGAGAATAATGCTCCAGGCAAATCTTTATTTTCTGTGTCTGCCTCTGACAAAGACACAAGTGAAAACAGTGTAGTCAGTTATCAAATATGGAGAGATGGTGTAGAAAACAAATATGCATCTTTCATTAATATTAACTCTGAAAATGGGGAGATTTATGCGCTAAAGAGCTTTGATTTTGAAACTGTTAAAACATTCCAGTTCAAAATTGTTGCTACAGACTCTGGAACTCCGTCTCTGAGCAGTAACGTGACAGTGAACGTGTTTATTCTGGATCAGAACGACAACGTTCCAGTGATCTTATATCCAGTCAGCGCTAACGGTTCTGCTGAGGGTGTGGAAGAGATTCCCCGTAATGTGAACGCAGGTCATTTGGTGACTAAAGTCAGAGCCTATGACGCAGATATAGGATACAACGGCTGGTTATTATTTTCACTGCAGGAAGTTAGTGACCACAGTCTCTTTGGTTTGGACCGCTATACAGGACAGATAAGGACCCTTCGCTCATTCACAGAAACAGACGAGGCCCAGCATAAACTGCTCATACTGGTCAAAGACAATGGGAACGTTTCACTCTCAGCAACAGCGACTGTGATTGTCAAAGTTGTGGAGCCCAAAGAGGCTTTTGCAGCTTCTGATGTTAAAAACGCAGTAAACGACGAGGAGGAAAACAACGTGACATTTTATTTGATCTTCACTTTGGGCTCGGTTTCAGTGCTTTTTGTCATCAGCATCATCGTGTTGATTGTAATGCAGTGCTCTACATCGACAGACTATTCATCCAAGTATTTACAGGACACAAATTACGACGGGACTCTGTGTCACAGCATCCAGTACAGATCTGGAGACAAACGGTACATGTTAGTTGGACCCAGAATGAGTATTGGTTCTACTATAGTCCCAGGCAGTAATAGGAACACTCTAGTGATACCAGATCGCAGGAGGAGAGGTTCTGAGGAGGTAAGGAACTTTAAGGGCTGATATATTTGTATTTTTATGTTTATTTTTATGCCATTACCATTTAGATATAGATTGTGGTGAAAGAGTTGCATCAACCTCTTATACATGCATTACTTGAGCTGGACAGTGGATTTCTGGGTCCCAACATACTTTGCATGGGATTGGATCAGAATAGTATATGTTGAAATGTTTCTAAGTGAAGGATGTACTCACTAGTGTTTAATTTTCAGATTTAGAAGAGTTCATGTTGTTGCCATTTTTGTGGTTACTATTGTGCTGAAGCATGGATCTTGTACTTAGATTGTGGGCCTCTATGAAGACCATGGTGTTGCTTTACTAAATATGCAGTAGCTGTGCAAATGCCAGTGCAGTGTGTCTTTTCTTGTTTACTCTTCTCATACATTACAGTTAGTTTAAAATATTTATTAAAAATATATAAACATTTTTTTTAACTGAAGATTAATTAGATATTTTGAGGTGAAATTCAAAGAATAAGTGAAGTTAAACTGATGTCTTTTCATTGAATTAATAAGATTTTTATTTCATGGTACATCCTATCCTATTTATTTAGATGATGATGATGATGATGATGATGATGATTAGTACTAGTAGTAGTATGGTGGTCTATGCTTTTTTTCTTACATATGTTTAAGTAAACTAAGACTTACATTTTATAAGTAATAATTGTTATACAATCCTTGTACTATAGTTTTTAGTAAAAGAAGAGTGTCATAGAGTATTCCATACTCTGAGAATTATTGGCCTTCCACATCATGTTTTGTCAACTCCATGTATATGATATACTATGATAGCTTTATAATGTGAATTAAAGTTAGAATGTTTGTTAATAAGCTTCAAGTTCACATAAATATTGAGTGACAAATGATCCAGCTACTACCTGTTTGTTATAAAATGAATTACTTTCATAAAATGATTACTTTTCATTTCCAGTGAATTATGAACTAGCATACTCTCTAATGCCATTGATTATTTGTTTAAAATTTCAACGTTTATGATTTTAACTAGGCTACATAAAGTGGACTGTTTTGGTTGGCATGAGATATAAAACTACAATACTACTGCAGTGGCTTGTAAACAATTAAAATCACTTCTGTGCGCCATTTGGACATAAATCTCTTGTCTTAAATATGACTTATTTAAATGTTCATGTTATTCCACTTTGTTCTTTTTTAGAATGTTTATCATTTTGTCAGATAAACCTGTTATTCGACTTAGCCTGTCTATTGTTTTAATTTCTCAGTTGCGTTCGTTTGCAGTGAAAAGTAAATTCGCATGGTGTCAGTGCACACCAAAAATACGGACCTGACGTGGCATCGTGTGTTGGCAGTTTCATTCGCTCTCTCCATCAGTTCGTTAAGAACGCCGAGGACATTGCCTTCACATTCGCCAAGAGCTACCTGCTTCGTACGTAAGGATTTTCTAACATAAACCATGATTTTTATGGTCAGCGCTTAACTTTGTTATAGGTCAACATTTTAGAGTGGAACATCTTTAAACGCCGTTTTAATTTCCTGCAAAATGCAACAAATTTTGTCGTCATGGCGCCGCAGACTTTTATTCATGGCACTGGGAATACTGCTTTGGAGAGAGGTATGCGCACAAATACGATATTCTCTTTCTGAGGAGCAAAAAGAAGGATCTGTGGTCGGGAACCTTGCGAAGGATTTAGGTCTCGATACCAGAACGTTAAAGGAGAGAGGATTTCGGATCGTTTCAACCTCAGGCGACTCGCTGTTCACGGTAAATCAGAAAGACGGGATTTTAAGTGTAAATGGGAAAATAGATCGCGAGGAGGTGTGCGAGAGAAGCGGCTCGTGTGTCATCAATCTAAAAATCGCACTAGAAAACCCTTTAGAGATCCACTATGTGTCGATCGAAATTGTGGACGTCAATGATCATGCCCCGACATTCCCGGAAAAAGAAAAGCGGTTGGAAATATCGGAATCAGCCCTACCTGGAGCTCGGTTTCAGTTACAGGCGGCGCGGGATCCCGATGGCAGAATGAACTCTGTTCAACAATATAAACTCAGTCATAATGATAATTTCCGCATAGAGGTTAAAGATCGCGGAGAAGATCGCAAAATGCCCTTTTTAATTCTTCAAAAGCCTTTAGATAGAGAAACAAGCCGTAGACACAAGCTAGTCCTCACTGCGCTTGATGGAGGGCGACCCCCAAAGTCTGGGACAATGGATATAATAGTTGACGTTTTAGATGTTAATGACAATATGCCAGTTTTCACACAAGAAGTTTACTCTGTAACGCTTCACGAAAATGTCCCTGTGGGCACAACTGTTATACAGGTTAATGCTACTGACATGGATGATGGTCCAAATGGAGAAGTTTTTTATTCGTTTGGAAAGGATATAGACAGTAGGCTAATACATCTTTTTGATTTAAACTCCAGGACTGGAGAAATTACTATAATCGGTCAAATAGATTTTGAAGAGATGAATAACTTTGAAATAGATATCCAAGCATCAGACAAAGGAAGTGCTCCTCTCACATCAGATAAGAGTATAACCATAAAAATAATTGATGTAAATGACAATGGGCCCGAGATAGAAGTCACATCATTTTCAAGTGCAGTGCCTGAAGACTCTAAAATTGGAACTACAGTGGCTTTAATCAGCGTCAGTGATTTGGACTCTGGTGTAAATGGAAAAGTGTTGTGCTACATAACTGAAGAAGCACCTTTCAGGCTAACAGCATCATCCCAAGATAACATTTACGCACTGGTTACAGCCTCATCTCTTGATAGAGAAACTGTGCCTCGCTATGACATCACGTTAGTAGCCAAAGATGCTGGGCAGCCACATTTGTCTTCATTTAAAACTATAACTGTGCAGATATCGGATGTAAATGACAATAGTCCAGCATTTTCACTTTCACCCTATGCTTTTTATGTGATGGAAAACAATATTCCAGGAAAATCTTTGTTTTCTGTGTCTGCTTCTGATCGTGACTTAGATGAAAATGCTGTTGTACACTATAACATTTGGAGAGACCCTGGAGATGAAAACAAGTATGCATCTTTCATTAATATTAACTCTGAAAATGGAGAGATTTATGCACTAAAGAGCTTTGACTTTGAAAAAATGATAATCCCCCTCAGATAGAAGTGACATCATTCTCCAGTGCCATTCCTGAAGACTCCAAACCTGGCACAACCGTGGCTTTAATAAGCGTCTCTGATTTAGATTCTGAAAAAAATGGGAGAGTCACCTGTTCATTCCCTGAGGACATACCTTTCAAACTAATGCCGTCATCACAAGAAAATACGTACTCGTTAGTGACAACTTCATCTCTTGACAGAGAGACAATTTCTCGCTATGACATCACATTAGAAGCCAAAGACGCTGGGCAGCCACCACTGTCTTCTGTTAAATCTATAACTGTCCAGGTATCAGATGTTAATGACAATAGTCCAGAGTTCTCTTTCTCCCCTTATGCATTTTATGTGATGGAGAATAATGCTCCAGGCAAATATTTATTTTCTGTGTCTGCCTCTGACAAAGACACAGGTGAAAACAGTGTAGTCAGTTATCAAATATGGAGAGATGGTGTAGAAAACAAATATACATCTTTCATTAATATTAACTCTGAAAATGGTGAGATTTATGCACTTAAGAGCTTTGATTTTGAAACTGTTAAAATGTTCCAGTTCCACGTTGTTGCTACAGACTCTGGAACTCCGTCTCTGAGCAGTAACGTGACAGTGAACGTGTTTATTCTGGATCAGAACGACAACGTTCCAGTGATCTTATATCCAGTCAGCGCTAACGGTTCTGCTGAGGGTGTGGAAGAGATTCCCCGTAATGTGAACGCAGGTCATTTGGTGACTAAAGTCAGAGCCTATGACGCAGATATAGGATACAACGGCTGGTTATTATTTTCACTGCAGGAAGTTAGTGACCACAGTCTCTTTGGTTTGGACCGCTATACAGGACAGATAAGGACCCTTCGCTCATTCACAGAAACAGACGAGGCCCAGCATAAACTGCTCATAATGGTCAAAGACAATGGGAACGTTTCACTCTCAGTGACAGCGACTGTGATTGTCAAAGTTGTGGAGCCCAAAGAGGCTTTTGCAGCTTCTGATGTGAAAAACACAGTAAAAGATGAGGAGGAAAACAACGTGACATTTTATTTGATCATCACTTTGGGTTCGGTTTCAGTGCTTTTTCTCATTAGCATCATCGTTTTGATTATAATGCAGTGCTCTAAATCGACAGACTATTCGTCTAAGTATTTACAGGATACAAATTACGACGGGACTCTGTGTCACAGCATCCAGTACAGATCTGGAGACAAACGGTACATGCTAGTTGGACCCAGAATGAGTATTGGCTCTACTATAGTCCCGGGCAGTAATGGAAATACTCTAGTGATCCCAGATCGCAGGAGAAGAGATTCTGGGGAGGTAAGAAACTTTACGGTATGATATATTTTTTATTTTTATATGTATTTTTATGCCCATTACCATTGAGATATGGATCATAGTGAAAGAGTTGCATCAAACTCTTAGACATACATTACTGGATCTGGATAGTGGATTTCTGGGTCCCAACATAGACCTACTTTGCATGGGATTGGATCAGAATAGTATATGATGAAATGTTACTAAGTGCAGGGCATACTCGCTAGTGTTGAATTTTCATATTTAGAAGAGTTTGTGTTGTTGCCATATTTGTGGTTGCTATTGTGCTGAAGCATGAATCTTGTACTTAGATTGTGGGCCGCTACATGAAGACCATTGTGTTGCTTTACTAAATATGCAGTAAATTCCAGTACAGTGTGTCTTTTCTTGCTTACTCTTCTTATACATTACAACTAGTTAATAATATTTATCAAAATTATATTCAGCATGTGAAAATGACCTATGCTAGATTTTTTTAAACTGAAGATTAATTAGATATTTTGAGGTGAAATTTATAGAGTAAGTCAAGTTAAATTGATATATTTTCATTGAATTTATAAGATTTGTATTTGATGGTACAGTTTGACAATTTCATGTTCAGATAAAACTAGCAAACTTTGCCGAAGTCTGTCTGTCTGTCTGTCTGTCTGTCTGTCTATCTATCTATCTATCTATCTATCTATCTATCTATCTGTCTATCGATTTATGATGATGATGATGATGATGATGATGATCATTTAGTGTGGTGGTTTACGCTTTTTTCCCCTACATATAAAATGCACGTCTTTAAAATTAGTTATATTTAAAAATAAGTCATAATGTTATACAATCCAAGTACTATAGCTTTTAGTAAAGGAAGGGTGTCATACAGTAGTCCCTACTCTGAGAATTATTGGCCTTACACATCATGTTTGGTCAACTCCATGTCATACTATGATGGCTTTAGAATGAAAGTTTTCAATTAGAATGTTTGATGATAAGCTTCAAGTTCACATAATTATTGAGTGACAGTGATCTAGCTACTAGCTGTATGTGTAATACAGTGAACTTCTTTTTGATGCCAATTAACTATGAACTCCTTTCTAATGCTATTGATAGCTTGTTTAAAAGATCACAAGTTAACGTTTATGATTGTAGACCTGGGCTGCGTTTCCAAAAAGCTTCGTAAGCCTAAGAAGGTCGTAAAAACGATCGTACGACTGATCTTAATATTACGTTCTGTTTCCCAAAAGCATCGTAACTTAAGTAACCCTTGAAAATCACCGTAGATCTACGAGTGCTCTGGAGTAATCGTAAAGCCCTAAGTGCATCGTAAGAAGACCGATTTAAGCGGTCACCTGCAGGACAATCGGCAGATTGCACCTTTAACTGTATTCAAGTGCAATGTGATTATAATAGAAAGTTTTGATTGTACTTTATTGTACACTTTATTACTCGTTTTTATGAATTTATAAGTGAAATAATTAAAAACGGCAGAAAGAAATAAAAATACACATCTAAATTAAATGACTGAACAAAAAATGAATAAAAGAAGTAATGTAGGAAATTGTATTATTATTATGTAAAGTATATTATACGTATTAATAATATAATATAATATAATATAATATAATAGTTATTATATCTGAGTTGTCTGGAACGCAGCATTAGGTTAACATTTCAATAAACGAGCGTGTACTACAATTACGAGCCATTCTATAAGGTGACATTTCAGCACTTGACAAACGGATAGCGACTCCTAAGTAGAACTTAAAGCACGGTTACGTGCGATTGCGTTAAGTGCATTTTTGGGAATCGCACGTGAAACAATAACGAACGATCCTAAAATGGCTCGTAGAAAACGCTCTTAAGCTCTAAGATCAATCGATATCGAGAAACGCAGCCCTGGTCTATAAAAGTGAATTGTTTTGGTTGGCATGAAATATGAAACTGTACTACTGCAGTGGCTTGTAAACAATTCTAATCAATTATGTGCGCCATTTGGACATACATCTCTTGTCCTAAATATGACTTATTTAAATATTCATGTTATTCCGTTTTATGTTCTTTTTTTTTACAATGTTTATCATTTTGTAAAATAAACCTGTTTTTCGACTTAGCCTGTCTATTGTTTTAATTTCTCAGTTGCGTTCGTTATATGCATCTTTCATTAATATTAACTCTGAAAATGGAGAAATGTATGCACTAAAGAGCTTTGACTTTGAAACTGTTAAAATGTTCCAGTTTCAAGTTGTTGCAACAGACTCTGGAACTCCGTCTCTGAGCAGTAACGTGACAGTAAATGTGTTTATTCTGGATCAGAACGACAACGTTCCAGTGATCTTATATCCAGTCAGCGCTAACGGTTCTGCTGAGGGTGTGGAAGAGATTCCCCGTAATGTGAACGCAGGTCATTTGGTGACTAAAGTCAGAGCCTATGACGCAGATATAGGATACAACGGCTGGTTATTATTTTCACTGCAGGAAGTTAGTGACCACAGTCTCTTTAGTTTGGACCGCTATACAGGACAGATAAGGACCCTTCGCTCATTCACAGAAACAGACGAGGCCCAGCATAAACTGCTCATACTGGTCAAAGACAATGGGAACGTTTCACTCTCAGCAACAGCTACTGTGGCTACTGTGATTGTGGAGCCCAAAGAGGCTTTTGCAGCTTCTGATGTGAAAAACACCGTAAAAGATGAGGAAGATGAGGAGGAGACATTTTATTTGATCATCACTTTGGGCTCGGTTTCAGTGCTTTTTGTCATCAGCATCAT